TATATATATATATATATGTCCGCCCCATGCAATTAAAGCTCCTAATGTGTCCTATTTACCTACATAGGAGCAATGCAGACGGAGCTCATCACCGGGAAATCTTATAACGACTGGGTGACACCGCTATGACTCCGTCTCCGTCTATTGCCTTCACAAATCACATATGATGTATACGGACACCCCGCTGTAGGAGTGTACCCCCTGACTACAGGGCGACAGAACTCACCGATCCTCCAGCTGCACCGGATCCGCCGCCATCTTGGTACTCCCTAATGTGAGCATGTGGTCTGTGCTGTGACAACACTTCCCTCATGTGCTGCTATTGAGGGAGCTCCTCCGCTCATTACTGTGACTAATAGCCGGTGTATCGGTCACTATTCAGCTCAGCTGAACCTACAATATCTGCAACTGTATTCTAAAACCGTGCAAATAAACTATAGTAAATATGTATTCTGCAACATTTCTTCTCAAATGGGAAACTATTGAAGTTTCTTTCCTTTGTAAAGACCCCTGATGTATATATACAAATCCTTTCCTTTATCAATACCCCTGGTGTGTATATATATGAATCCTTTCCTTTATAAAACCCCTGATGTATATATAATATATGAATCCTTTCCTTTATAAAGACCCCTGATGTATAGCTATGAATCCTTTCCTTTATAAAGACCCCTGATGTATATCTAGGAATCATTTACTTTATAAAGACCCCTGATGTATATATACGGATCCTTTCCTTTGTAAAGACCCCTGATGTGTATATATATATATATATATATGAATCCTTTCCTTTATAAAGACCCCTGATGTATATCTAGAAATTCTTTCCTTTATAAAGACCCCTGATTTATATCTAGGAATCATTTCCTTTATAAAGACCCCTGATGTATATATACAAATCCTTTCCTTTATAAAGACCCCTGATGTATATATACAAATCCTTTCCTTTATAAAGACCCCTGATGTATATATACAAATCCTTTCCTTTATAAAGACCCCTGATGTATATCTACGAATCCTTTCCTTTATAAA